TCAAAGAACTTGTTTACATTACATTAATACGTAAAACTCTTTGCTGTATAACTTCATAAACTCGTTGCATGACGAAGAATTTCTTAAAACTCCATAACCGTAAAGTTTTATACAATCTTTCTGTTTGACCCACTGTCCTTTGACACTTGACCTAACCGGGTACTCTCCATAATTGCCGGGATGGGTAAAGTCCAAATTAAGTTAGCACATTCCGTTGAAACTTAACAAGGGTGCGCAAAATTTTATGGTTGCGTCGGTAAATTGTATCGTCATAAACGGAAATATGGACACACGTAGACACATTATACACAATAACCGGCTAAAGTTGTAAATTTAGTTAGCAGTAAAAGTGGTTTTATTGTGTTGTAGTAACTTCTAATGAGAATTTAGATACATATTGATCCATGGATTTATGGACAAACTAATTGAAAACGTGTGTTTAATATTAATAGAGTTTGAATTGAGTTGTTCGTAATTATTTATTTATCCTAGCTGAACGTATAACGTAGCTATCATAATGTCAGTTTGGTAAATATAAATTACGTTTTTGTGGTCGATATAGCAATTATGAAATTCGTTCGTGTATCATTCTGTATGTACTCCGATACAAACTTTTACATACTATAAAAGTGAACTAATTACTTTATATAGAAAACGAAATAGTTGTATAAATAAATACGGTTTTAATCGAAGATCTTTATTACATGGATCTCAATACAATATCATTTACAATACATTATACATATATCACTTACTATCTTATAATATTATACAAAGCGGAGGAGTTTGTTTTTTTGTTTGTTTGAACGCGCTAATATCCGTAACTACAAGTCTGATTTGAATAATTCTTTTTGTGTTGTATAGTTATCGAGGATGGCTATAGACTATAAAACATCACGCTACGACCAATAGGAGCTGAGCAGAGCGTGTGAAACCGCGCGGAAGTAGCTAGTACATTATATAGACACGTAACACTACATAAAAAAGGAGCCTATAGAATTAACACGAAAACATCAATAGAAAAATAATACGCATACCACATGTTACTACACATAATAAAACAATGACCTACATTCCCCAAAACAAGAAAAGGATAATAAAATTACTATGAAGGAAATTATTAACAATATTAATGGCAGACATATTTCATTTCGGAATCGTCTGCTATAGGTCTCTGTCGCTTCGCTGCCAAGTTGTGACGGTAAACAGATTAGCAACATTAATATATCTTTTAGTAGACAACTTTCTTGTTTTCTTTCCTTTTCTTGTTCTTGCGACTTTTGGCCGTGGGTTTGTGTTGTATTTGGTTTAGAAGTCTGCTTGGAATCAGTAGATTTATCTTCAGGAAACTGTATAGCGCTTAGAGCATCCTGTCGTTGGACAAAGTGATCCAATTTTTGACAAGTAAGTAGTAGTATATACGTGTCTACTTAATTGTCAATTTTGTCATTTTCATCAAATCATCAAAGTCATCAAAAAATAAGTAGATATATACGTGTCTCAACAAAAAAAACAAAAAAAAAGATATAGACGTGTCAAATATTGTAGGACATCTTCTAGCTAGGTGTATTCCCGCGCGTACGGCGAGAAATGAAGCCCAATAGGGCTGATTCTGATACAGTGCCGCGGAGAACCTATAAGGTTAGCGGGGCTCCGGCTCGAAGTGCTGGAGCAAAAACGGGGTGCTTTTCACATATAACATTAACACATTGTGCCCAAAAGTGTTTGTGCACAGTGTGCCCAAAAACGGGGTGCTTTTTACATAACATCACGCCTTTTATCCCCGAAGGGGTAGGCAGAGGTGCACATAGAAGTAACACCCACTTTTCACTATTTATGTTATGAGTCCCATGTAATAGGGGGTGAGCCTATTGCCATATACCGGGCACATTTCCAGACTCCGTGCTACTACTGAGATTTTTAAAAAACCCCAGTAATACTTTGCCCGACCCGGGAATCGAACCCGAGACCCCTTGCCCGGCAGTCGCACTTGCGACCACTCGGCCAAAGAGGGTGCTTTTTAGAGTTGCCTAAAGCCTAAAATAACATATTGAGTTTAAAATCTAGTGTGGGAGAGCCATGGTTTGGCACGAATGGGCCGGCACGACCGGAGTGTGCCGCACAGAAAACCGATATGAAGCAACGCTTGCGTTGTGTTTCGTCATGTGAGTGAGGTTACTGGAGGCCCAATTACCCCCCTTCCCTTCCCCAATCTCTGAATCCCCAAACGATCCTCAAACTCCTTATCTCCAAAAGGTCGGTAACCCCTCTGGTGATCCAGGTGTCCATCGGCGACGCCAAATGCTTACCATCAGGTGATCCATCAGCTCGTTTACCGGCTTATGACATAAATTGAAAAGAAAAATAACCAAATCACCAGTTTTAATCCCGATAACCAATTACAAGACTAGAATAGGTTTTCGGCTACCCTTCAGAACAACAAATGTGATGTTACAATAAATAAATAATTATTAATTTAATCTTACTCAGAAACATTCAAACGACTAATAAAAAGACTTAAGACTCAAACATAAACCTATAATATACATAAAAATATACGTAAATAACGAAATTCTGGGTAGTAGCAACATCTACCTAATATTTCATAAATATCTTTCGGAAAATATAATATGAGCTGGCAACCTCGCGTACCGTCGGATCACGAATGTAAAGGCTTATGTTACATTTTAATGAGACACCTATTTTCTGATTCACAAACAGACACTTACGATCTTGTTATATATAAATAAAAATGGTTAGGTACGCATATTTCTTATTTTTGGATTTTATCTGACATGGCCGTGATGAAACTGTGTTTTTATGTATGTTTAACAGTCATGGTAGATTATGGATTTGATCCTTATGTCAACCAAAATATTGTTAAGGATTTCAAAGTATTAAGTACCTACAAAAAATCTACAAGTACGCTAAATTTTACGGTATTTTTTATAGTCTAAAATTATACCTAATGATTATCAAAACGATTGCTCTATTAAAGTGTCTTAAACTTGCAAAAGGTTGATGTTAAAAGCAGAATAAACAAAAGTACTACTGATCACTTGTGGCGACATCACACCTATCCATAAATACACCACAATCACAAAAAAAACTAATTGCTTACACGAAAAAACACAACGACATTACGAACTAAATTTCTTAACCTTCTTATATTACATCGGCCACAATCATAGTAATTATAAAGAGAACAGAGGACCACTAACGAGGGTACATTACTGGGGAACTTTCCTCAAAGAAACAGACCCGCCGGCTTAACGTAATCGGTTAGTTAACCAAACTACGGGTGGTAACAGTTAGGGAGTAATCATATATCGAATAATTGGAACGAATTATACCAGTGTTATTATTATAAGTAATTGCTAAGTTGTGCTATGTTAAGACGGTGTTAGGTAAGATTTCTGCTAAAGTATTTTGTACGATTAATTATGATTACAGGACCTCTTATAAAAATGAGTCGCTAAAACGTTTGTACGCATATAACTCATGAACGACTTCACTGATTTCGATAATCTTTTTTTGAAAATGTTCACGATTGTCAGGATCATGTATGTATGTACATGGGAAAGATAGCTTTGGTACAATCACGATCCAAGATGTGGGATCTGGGAAAGACAGAAATAAGCCTTAATGAAGTTACAAACACCTCAAAGAGCCATTAGACCACCACAGATGGGGCCTAATAAGGCTGATGCTGATACGGAGCCGTGAAGAAAGTAAAAAGTTACTGGGACTCCGGCTCGAATGCAGGAGTAGGAACATTACTATTATAATAACGATTTAATGCATACTGATTACAGTATATTACTGTTACTATATCAATTCCCTAGGTGGTAGATATTTACGTAGCTACCTATTCCAGACAACTTCCCACCGGGTTTAGCTTAAGTATGTAATAAAATCTTATATTTTGCTACAAGGTGAACCTGCCGCTAGTCTTTTGAAGCAATAACATTACCGGTCTAATCGGCAATGTTGCCATTACAAATAATACTGCTCTTAATGTAGGGATACCGTTATTTCGTTATTTTGGTGAATGAGAAAACGACCCAGACACACTTAATTGCCATTTACAGTAATAGAATTTGCTTTTTATTGGAATCTGTAAGTTATTAGGATTTTCCGAGAACATTTGAAAATATTATTTAGGGACTGTCAATAAAGATTAGGCTCCCAAAGCTGAGATTGGATTTAATTCGTTTTGAAACTGTGAATACGATATTGTTTATTTAAGGGATTCTTTTGAATGCTTTTATCTTTACTTTGTGTTTAATTTAAGTACGTTTTTGGTTTGGATTAAACTTATTCTCTTTTGTGTGCCAATATAATATTGTATTTCAGAATTATTGTGCTGCCTATTTTATCACAAAGTGTTTCAGTTGAACACAACATGATTAATATTATACTACCTATTAACAATCTTTTTTGTTTTAAATCGTTCGAATCATTTTTATTCTTAGATTATTAATTATAAATATTTTAGTTTTAATCAAAAATTAATTAAAATATCAATAATATGTGAAATAAAAGATTATTAATTATATTCCATCTCTATCCTCTTTTTATGGGATAAGCGAGCTGATGGATTGCCTGATGGTAAGCAATCGACGCCACCCTTGGACACCCGAAATATAAGAGGTGTTACCAGCCTTTTGGGAATTGGGAATTTGAGGATTGTGGGGAATTCGGGGATTAGGGAGACTGGGGAGAGGGGGTAATTGGGCCTCAGGTATCCTCACTCACAAGACGAAACACAACGCAAGCGTTGTTCACGTCGGTTTTCTGTAAGGCCGTGGTATCACTCCGAAAGTATGGCTCTCCCACTTTCCACTATCGCAAATTCTGTCTTTTTCTTATCTTTACTCAAATAATTTAGAGTTCCTAAATAATTTGACATCATAGAGTACCGTCCACAATTCACTACAGCCATGATTTTAAGAATACAAAATAGACAAATAATAGAACACTTGTCTATTATTTTACAGAGTACTGTCACCCGTATGAGCCGTTCAAGTGTCCTGTGGATGGCAACTGCATCTCCATCCAGTACCTCTGCGACGGAGCTCCGGACTGCATCGATGGATACGATGAGGACTCCAAGCTTTGCACTGCTGGTCAGTGTGATAATATACAGTTCTAGTACATTCTGTAGTTATAAAATATAGTAGACTAACCGAGACCAACAAAAGATATGTACCTAAGGGGATTTTATTGGTGGGTTCTGGAAAGGGAGAAAGTAAAAGGAGAAACAGTTGAATAACTGAAAAAGGTAGAAAAATAGATGATATTTATTTGAAACTAGCTGAGCCGGCAAACTTCGTACTGCCGCATACAATTTTGTTCTCTACTTTTATACCTTCCCTGGACTTCCACAACCATATCAAGACCAAACTTAACCACATCGGATCAGCAATTCTCGAGTTTTAGCGAGACTAAATAATAGATAGATAGATTAAGCAAAATGCAAATTAAGCAAAAATAATAAATGGAATCAAAGTGGAACACATTGTATAAAACGTACCTAATAATAAATTAACTGAATTATTATTAACCAAGTACCTACCTACATACAATTTATAAAATTTCGTTTTCAAAACTTAAAGGAAACGTACGTAAAAAGTTTTTATCTTTAGGCAGGTACAAGTGTGTATGTGTCCTCTAGAAGTACTTCAAGCACAGAAAACAGTCTTGAAGTCATATTTCCACGAAAATAAAGTTCCATATTATAAATAAAATGAAAACCATACCCAATTATTTTTGTGACTAACTTTGTTTTCCATCCAGAATGTTCAAGGGTAACACTCATTAAAGATATAATTTAGTTTAACGTTATTTTAGGCTGGATGACTACGTATTGAAAACTTTTCTCGAGAGGAAGAGCTTGTTATTTTGTTTCATGATTTCATATGGAGTTTGGAAATCAAATGTGATTTTGTATGTTATATTTAGAAACTAGGGAATGAGTTAACTAATTGTTCCTGTTTGTTAACCTTCTAGATTCTATCTAGTGAAAGTGAACTCGATCGCAATCCGCCATGTTGTTTTGGTTGTGAAAATAATATCGACCAATGACAGGCGAGAATGCGATTAAGTTCACTTCAATCTTTCAAATTTCAAAAGTTTTATGGTGCATTAGTAAAACTGACTACTTAGGTTTGACTGCACGATTGGTGCGGCGGCTGGGCAACCGGCGGTGTCGCGGATTCGATTCCCGCACGTAACAACTCTTTGTGTGATCCAGAAATTGTTGTTCTGGGTCTGGGTGTCATGTGTATGTGAACTTGTAGGTTCGTAAACCCACCCACGACACAGGAGAAAATCCTAGTGTGGGGCAACGTTTTATAAAATAAAAAAAGGTAGCTAGCATATTGAATAAGCGTTCGTAGCTGACTGATCACAATCAAATAAATTAAAATAATATACCTCTATTACCTATAAATATTCACCAAGAGAATATCAATAAAAGCCAATCAATTCTAAAAAGTTTTAATGGAATTCCAACTCACTTAAAACACCAACTGATGCATTAACAAAAATGAATAAAATATGAACCATTAATAATCATCGAAGAACATAATTTCGCTCGGCTAATGTGAAATTAATTCTTCACTGAATGATGCATGCCCATTTTATATGCAAAGGTAAATATTTCGTTTCCCAACAATAAATAAATGGCAGCTTTCTGCCTCACACAACAATACTGTGGAATGATATGTCGTCGGCGGTATCTCCGAACCGATACAACCTTCAAATCTTCAAGAAAGGAGTGTATTCCTTTTTAAAAGGCCGACAACGCACCTGTGAATCTTCTGGTGTTTCGGGTGTCCATGGGCAGTGCTGATCGCTTACCATCAGGTGAACCGTATGCTCGTTGGCCTCCTATTCCATAAAAAAAATAGGTACTCCGTTAACAGTGAGTTTTAATACAAATTTTAAGTAGGTAATACTTTAGCAATAACTTAATCGATTATACATAACATTTTTATCCCCTTTGTAATGTAAAGGTGGCCTGTGGTTAGTTGAAGTGACGATATCCATTAAGTGATTTGTAGTGGTTGAATGTAAAGAGCTGAAAATTGAGCTGAAGAGCTCAACTCGAGATGCCTATACTGAGCAGTGGACGAAACTGGACGAAACCTTTGTCCATGTTGATTGAAATGAAATCTTGTTTTAGAAAGAGCAGTAGATCCGTCGCGAGCTGTAGTCTAAACGTCACTTGAGTTCAGTAACTAATATTTAGAATTGAAAATTAATTTAATGTGAGAATTAATGAAAAAATTGTGACTATTAACCAATACTATTATTTATGTTAAAATTTTGATTGTGTTGAATATTTTTATACTTTTTAAATAGCGTATGCCTAATGGGCAGCTTTTTGCGCTACTATAATAATAATTTTAAGACCCTTTTGTATCACCAAAAAGCACACGAATAAATACTTTGACTTTAAAAAAAATACATTATTTTGCAGTCAGTGTGTAAATATTTCCAACATGAAAAACAGATCTTCCTAACAAAAAATAACTGTAATTCAATATCTTGCACGTCCGTAGAGTATGTGTCTACAAACTACTTACCATATTACGTACATTCCAGTGCTGAATGAACTGTGGTCCTAACATCGAGCAAAATACTATTCGGTCTAGCAAGTTATTGTTTTCCAAGAATTGTATTCCATGAATGGCAAAAGGCTTTCCCTGCTATTCAATGCCCCGCTGGGAAACAAAAGGCACGTTGTGAAATACCGTCTGAGGGAAACTCATAAATAGAAATATATATTTACACAGCTAAAAACAAACTTTATACCTACTTAGCATAAAGCTAAAATTAAGATTGAAAGTACATGTAATTGAAATTCTATTTCTGTTTCACCGGTTTTAAATTATAACGAACATTTTGAATGAGCACTCGTTTCAAAGGTACAGAATAAACATTAGCTCGCTCGAGTCACTGCTCTAATGCTGGCTTTTGCTTAAACCTCTTAATTAAATATGCAAAAGGACTTACATGGTCATTACCTTGACCTAAACATACTGTTCTAAGAACTGCCTTATTTAGTAACTGTGCTAAAAGGCTGGTATTCAAAGATATTTTGTGTAAGGATTAAAAAAGATTTGTGAATAGTCTTACAATCAAATTAACGGTCGATTTTAAAACAAACAAAGATCAAAAAGATAAGATAAAAAGAAGTCGTCTATTCATAGAAGATTATATTTTATCTGACCTGTATAATTAATAACATCTAGGTTCCTTTTACTCGTCCTTTTGAATTTTAAAATAACAAATAACGTACTTAACACCTTAACAATTAGGTATCTCAAGATACAGTGTCAGATTGGAAATCTCATGGTAAACCATTGATTTTTCTATATTGATAATTAAATTATGTTTTCGGCTTACTCACGTTACTCACAAGCCATGCTAGAAGTTCATACTCAGGAGCATCATGAATATGTTACTTGATTAAGCCGAAAATAAACAATATTAATTTATGATATAAACTAAGGTTATGATATAAATTCAAGATCATTAAATTGAATTATAATAAATCACATTTAGGTATATACATAGGTACATTAGTACAGTACCTATTCTTTTACGGCCACTGTCTATAACCTTCTATCTGTAGATTTGTCATAAGCTCCATACAAAATGTGTCAAAATTCTATCTCAGTAAGCAAATCTACAGATAGATAGGTTATAGAAAACGGCCGTTACAGACCAAGTGGGTACCTAAAACAAATGATACTAACTTTTATTAGGATTCGGAATAGCTTTTTCTTTACGACATTCATTCATCATTGTATAACATTAGACCTCATTTGTTGTAAAATCGATGTCACACTAGAAGGATTTGCTTAACAATAGAAGGTAGGCTTTGGTACATGGGTACTTCTTTTAACCATTTAAGTTATTGATTGATGGATTGAATATAAGGCTAAAACTTCGAGCAGGTAAATTTTTTGATCCTTCTACCCATATTTGGTTGTGATATGTAGGTACTTATGCGAATTTTTACATGTTTTCAATGAATACAAGAAAGTCGAGAAAATCCTATCTATATATTTTCTTCTTTTCTCCTTGTTTTGTTACTTTTAAGGTAGAGATGATGATATCGTATGATGAATCCAGCTCAGTTCACAAGTAAAAGGAAACATTTTTTTTCCTTTTATACTGATTTTTTTTTAATACTAACTAGCTAAAGAAAACAGCCTTGCTGCCAAGGTAATCAATACCTCTTAAGTTAACTCTTGTCTAAATAAAACGTTTCTACAATGGGCGATTAAATCGCTATTTCTTCTGAATGGGTATGACTTGAGAAGCTATCCACAGACAACAAAGGAAACGAGCCTTTCTTCTGACAATACCTAGATATAGATTATAAATCGATCTTTTTACTTTTATTCTCTTGACTTCTTAGTACCTATAGAGTACCTACCTATTTATTGAGATTGGTAGAAACTGTTTTTTTTATTAAGTAGTTAGAAAAGATGTTTTACCTAAGAAGATGAAGTATTATTAGGTGTCTAGGTTATTGCCTTGGCAATAATATATTTTAAAGCTTTAAATACTACCCCATTTAAAGAGTTTGAAGTGGTGAAATACTGACAACTAACAAGAAATTGAATTCAGCATTCTGAATACTTAATACACCACAATTTACACCAGAAAAAGTAGGCAGAACAGTTTAACGAAAAAAAAACAAAAGAAAATTTATTACACGTACATACATAACAGTTACGCGAAATATGAATTTATAACCTAACTTTTGACATTGAAGCCCCGTCACAGACATTAAAATTTAATGTCTTACTTACGTAATACGTAACTGCGCATATATGCGGCCTACATTCTTTGAAAGTCAGCTAAAACCTTCAAATCAAGGGGCTGTGGTTTCTAAAGGCTTCTTTCAAAACTATGTAAAGAAAGTCCATGACGTTTTAAATAGACCTGGCTTTTAATGAACGTGGTTTACGAATGCAGAATGGTCATTATTTTCATAACAAAGGTAGGTTACCTACACAAACACGTCTTTTAAAGGGTCAGGCAGAAGAAACAGGCATGTTGCACGTGTTAAAATTTAATATTACATAAAGGTAGGTAGGTAGCTGTATCGGTACCTACATGACCAACTTTTAAGGGCTGATTTTTCAATCATCAGTTAATTCATCACTGTTAATTTTACGGTTTTTAGTATTGAAGAATTGTTAATAATTCAAAGTTATTACTCCGTTAAAATTTATCTGACGTTGAAAAAATTGGAAGCCTTTATATACTACATACTGCCGTCAGGCCGTAGAAAGCAACAAAATCACAAAGCTTTAAATCAAACACAGAACATTTTAAATTTCAGAATATAAATTGTAGAAAATATCTAACTACAAGTATGTGCTACACCGTATGTATTAGATATTATACGAACTATCAGTTCACTATTTAGTCAGCCAGTACGACTAGTGACAAAATATTGATTCCTACTATGTGAATGACGTCATTCTCTCGGTTCTAAATGCTAATGTTCATTACTCATGCCATTATCCATGTATAGGTATCGAACATCACATTGGAAATAATGTATTAGTTCAGGCACATAGAAAATATTAAGCATTTAACATTGAACATTGTTTAATCAAGGTTAAAACGGGACTTTAAAATTCGTAATTTGTACGAGTAAATAACATATCTAATTTCCTTTCCGCAGCTAAAAGGCCACCTGTTGAAGAAACAGCATCCTTTCTCCAATCATTACTGGCATCCCACGGGCCCAACTACCTCGAGAAGTTGTTCGGCAGCAAGGCACGGGACGCCCTCGAACCACTAGGCGGCGTCGAAAAGGTCGCTATTGCTCTCTCAGGTAATACATCTTCGTTTTACTGCCGTCCCTAAACAGTTCAAAATATTTCTACATTTGAAGAAATATATTCTACATCGTTTACCCTAAAAGGATGAATATTTCTAGAACATTTTCAACTTGCCCCAAATGCTGATGAATATTGGCGCCCAAGATGGGACCGCAGTCTCTCTTGGGTACCAAAAGTATGTATATCTAAAATTGATTATGACTTACAGTAATCCAAATATTTTCGTTTCCAGAATCCCAGACCATTGAAGACTTCGGTGCCGCATTACATCTAATGAGGTCCGACCTGGAACACCTACGCTCGGTATTCATGGCAGTGGAGAATGGTGACCTTGGCATGCTTAAATCTCTTGGCATCAAGGACTCGGAACTTGGCGACGTAAAATTCTTCCTGGAGAAGCTGGTGAACACAGGATTCTTGGACTGAATAGGACCGGAGTCTGCCTCTGATTACTATCACGTCGTCCAATTTGCCCCGTTAAGCTCATCCTTCTACAGCTACCTTCCTTACGACTCCATCAAATATAGGAGAAAGTAAATCGTACCTTTATCTTCTAACCCGTGCGATTGTTGAATGTGTGAACCTATATAATATTTACATATAATCAAAATCTTTCGAGAAATGATTTTGAAAATCAGAATTGACTTCTACAACCGGCCACGTAGACTTTTCTGATTCCATAAATCATTTCTCTGCATCCCCATTGGCTTACAGAAATATTAGGTAGATAAAGAGGGTATTAATTTTGAAATAGATTAGGTACGTATATTTTTATAAACATATGCTTCATTAGGTTGTAAACCAAATTCGTTTTTTAGGTTATACTAAAGAGATTATCAGGGCCCAACACTCGCGTCTATCATTAAGTGTGAAATGAAAAGAGGCTAAGACTGTGACTTTAGTGTTAAACTAGTCAAAGCTAAGCTTATGTCGCATTCCACTTCATGATGACCCTGATAACCATTATAGCATGCATGTGGTTTTTGAATGTCGCCCCCTAAAATGAAACCTCCCTAACTTGGACTATGATCAGAGGCGACTCCATTGAAACGTCAAGCGTCCATTCTAAGCGAGATATAAAGCTAAAGTCGGTTGATATGAAGATGTGTGTCCTTAGAATAAATAAAAAAATAAGAATCGTTGAAAGAATGCATACGCTTTATATCTGGCTTTTGGAAAAATCCAGAATAGGACCATGGAAACATATCATTGTAAACATAGATGTAGGTAAAAAATACATATCATAGATTATAATCTGTAGTAGATAAAGTACAATTATTTTAATATGATCGGTATTGTAGTGTACGACATTTTATAGACCCTTTTAGTATGTACTTTTTCGTCATTAAAGGAACTATATAACAAAATGAAAAGCATAGTTATAACGGTGCTGCACTTGAATCCAGATACATATCAAAATTAATGTGATTATTAAATAAATGTTAGATTTATTGTATGTTACTTATTTTAGAGTAATAAGTAGAAAAGAATTAACACCGTAGATATTAAATTCGATCCCATTAGATTCCAAATTCTATTGTCACTCGTTTTTAACATCTTAATAATATTGGTGTTGTAATGATAGAACTTTTGTCAAATGCGGGCTAATAAGACAACGAATTAATGATAATGTCTCATTTCCAATGAGAGGGGTGAGGTACACGATGTAATATTGGGAGTTTAATGACAGGAAATGTAATTATTGGCAATTTAATTCCAAATTATTAGATGCCTGTTTAAATAATAATTTAAACTTACCCAATTATGAATGCTATCACAATCACACGATTCTTTGAAGGGTTAAGTAAAATCAAAACACGCGCGTAAGAATAAACATGGCCGTTACATGCAATGTTGCCAGTTTATTATTGTTAAAGTAAATGCAGCCTGTATTTGCCAGAAGTTTATACCTAAAACCACAATAGATCTTCTAGTATTTTCAATCGCCAAATCTTAGTCTCAAATCACAATGTTTCAGTGTGTACCTATCAGTAGTAAATATATTCTCTCTCCGTTAGATCTAAATTCATATTACTATTTTAGCTACCTACACGTAGTTAGTTTAAGACAATTTTTATGAATATTCAATGGTTTTAGTAATATAGGTTTAATTTTAACTTGCGTCGGATTCTCTTAATATTCAACAAAATGGCGATCTTTGAACTCTGTTAGATAATATTATGTGTTTTGAAGTAAGTATAAATGGCTTATTGTTCTTAAATAACAAACCAATAAATGAATCATCTTGAATTTGAGTTTTATTTGATGTCCTTTTTAAGACCCAAAAAATATATTTAAAAAAATCACAGTGCCACCTAGCTTCTGAAGTCTACAACCTAGCAAAACTTAAACCTTTTCGCCGCCCAGCTATACTAAACACGATGTGTCGCCGTACGCCAACGTATAAATGTATAATAAATGTATAGTACGAAAGTAGGGATGGCGGTAACATCATGTCGATAATGAAAAAAAATATGTGTAAATTTAAATTGGTACTCAAATTTACAATTAAAAATACAAACTGTTAAGTTATAATGGTAATTTGTTTTATTTTATGAACATTTATACTAAGAAAAATGGGTATCCGTTATCAGAGATGAAGATACATGCATAGAGTTGCTAGAGATAATAATAATAATTCGTAACATTAGCCACTTCACTATTCATTTCATAACGTAGTCTGTTTACTTCATATCAAGTCATTGGCGTTCAAAGCACGATACATTTCGTAAGGAATAGTTGTCTATGCTTTTCTTTCTTTCTATCGAGTTAGGTTTGCTTTTGGTTTTAGTTTACATTTAAAATAAACTGGCACGTTTGATGGATATTAGGTAGTCATAAAATACCTATTCGTTGCGGCTCTCGGTTTCGCAAACTTTTAGCTGTGTCGGCGAACAAATATAGACCTGAGTCGATCACAAATTTTTCGCGACCCAAACAGTTTGTAATCGAATCAAAATGACTCAATCATTTGGATATTTCATAATCATGAAAATAATTATAGGTATAGGCCGTGCGATTAATTATGAGCGCTGGACGAAAGTAGAGGGGGATGCGCAGTAGCGATTTTCATCCATTCAACATCAAAGTCGGAATCAGGTTCCACACCTTGTAACAGCCGCAACAACTCATCCGAATCATATTCGGTCATTTTGCACTGCACTGGGAAAGAAAAATGTGCGTGCACGCGTCGCCCGGAACTATGACACAATGACCTTGACGCCTAGAGATGGGCACTGGGAAAAAACCCAATGGGAAAATACCCAGGTTTTTTCCCATTTGGGAAAAAACCCGGTTTTTATGTGGGAAAAAACCCAATAGGCGGGTATTTTCATTTATAATGATCTTATTCTATTTTTATTTTCAGAACTAAATAAATAGGTACTTTGTGATGCGCACATTCATTAAAAAAAGTATCGGGAATTGATGATTTGTTTATGGTTCCAAATTCAAATTTTTGTTTTTATGTAGTTGTTAGATGGGCACAACTGTTTTCCATTTTGGCGCAGAGTTTGAGTTGCATCTGTTATTTATATCAAATGCAGTGCTGGTTTCAGAAATATCATATATAATGTGTATTGTGAATTTCATAATGGACACAAATATCGATCAAAAAGTTTGTCTTAAATTTTGCATCACCAATGGAATTTCGTGTTCAGAGTCACTGAAAATGTTACAGAAAGCTTACGGTGAATCGACTTTATCAAAAACTCGTGCTTATGAGTGGTTCAAAGCGTTCAAAAGCGGTCGAGATGAGATGGAAGGTTTGTCACGCTCTGGTAGGCCATCAACGTCTGCAACTGAAGTTAACATCGCAAAAGTGAAGGAAATAGTGACTGAAAATCCCCATTCAACTCTGAGAGAGATAGCCGCCGAACTTTCTGTATCTCACAAGTCGATTCGTACTACATATTTTACTAATCTATACTATACATTAAAGGGTATGAAACATGTCGCTGCTCGGCTAGTTCTAAAAGATCTGAATTTTCTCCAAAAACTCAATCGCATGAAAGTCGCTGAGGACATGCTAGAACGAGTCAGTTCGGACCCAACATTCATGAAACGCATTGTTACTGGTGACGAAACGTGGGTTTACGAGTTTGACATGCAAACTAGTCAACAAGCTTCGAACTGGCACCTTCTAACTGAACCAAAACCGAAAAAACCAGAACCAAAGTCGATCAAAAGTCAAAGTCATGTGGACTGTTTTCTGTGATTATCGCGCTGTTGTGCACTCTGAATTCTAACGGTAAATAAAGAATATTATTTGAGCTTTATGCGGCGTTGAAGAGAGCAAATTTGACAAAAAAGGCCAGATTTGTGGAAAGAAAGTTCTTGGATTTTGCACCACGACAATGCGCCTTCGCACAAGGCTTTCATTGGTGGCATCAAGGTGAACGAATTTTTGACCAAACACTCAACAAATACCATCCAGCAACCACCATATTCACCAGATATGGCTTTAAAAATATGATTAAAACAACGAGAGATACTCTTACTTTGTTCGTAAAAAAAAGTAGGTATCAAAGTCCGTAAGTGTAGCAGTTGTTGTCAATTCAAAGGAAATCATTAGGTAACCAAAAGTCCACCAAACAAAATCCAAGTCGTCAATTAAACACACAAACAGACAGGAATTTTGTTTAATTTTATTTTATTTCATTTGATAGTAGGTCCCTAAGGATATTAAGAACGTTATTACTGCAATATGGACATAAACAAAGTTAGATTAGCTCTAACTTGTAGTAATAGTTCTTAAATAGTACGTACTATATGATATGTCCATAATCTACACATTATTTATTTGTTATATGTGTTAAATATGAAAAAACCCGAATATTTTCCCATTCGGGAATTTTCCCCGGGTTTTTTCCCGGTTTTTTCCCATATTCGGGTTTTTTCCGGGTAAAATCCCATCTCTATTAGAGATGGGCACTGGGAAAAAACCCAATGGGAAAATACCCAGGTTTTTTCCCATTTGGGAAAAAACCCGGTTTTTATGTGGGAAAAAACCCAATAGGCGGGTATTTTCATTTATAATGATCTTATTCTATTTTTATTTTCAGAACTAAATAAATAGGTACTTTGTGATGCGCACATTCATTAAAAAAAGTATCGGGAATTGATGATTTGTTTATGGTTCCAAATTCAAATTTTTGTTTTTATGTAGTTGTTAGATGGGCACAACTGTTTTCCATTTTGGCGCAGAGTTTGAGTTGCATCTGTTATTTATATCAAATGCAGTGCTGGTTTCAGAAATATCATATATAATGTGTATTGTGAATTTCATAATGGACACAAATATCGATCAAAAAGTTTGTCTTAAATTTTGCATCACCAATGGAATTTCGTGTTCAGAGTCACTGAAAATGTTACAGAAAGCTTACGATGAATCGACTTTATCAAAAACTCGTGCTTATGAGTGGTTC